TTCTTTGAAAAATTCAACAAACCGCACGTTGCCATTCATAGTGCAGTATGCTGATAGCAAAGACTTCCACGCCTCCTCCGAGCCGCGTCTGGACCCCGACGCAGTCTTGGTCGCGTAACGAAAAGCGTCAAGCTTGTCTTCTACGCGAACGATAGCATTCCCGAATTTAGCGCCCGCTTGTCCTCATCCTTGGTATCAGGTAGATATGCGAGTAGGACGGAATGGTGAACGAGATTGTTCACGTAAACGGCGTCACCAGGTCGTTGGACAAGCACATCTGAAGTGCTACAGTCCAACATTCTCTTAAACGAGTCCGTCTTGTTTCTCCACTTGAATATCTCGGTTGTCTGCTATGGGAAAAATACTCAGATCTTGAAGCATCGCTTAGCACATGGTGGGATGTAGGAGACTAATCGGCCGCGATCCATGTGTACTGGCGATTCGAGGTTATTTCACGATTGCAGCAAGATTACATGTCCGATTGACCTGAATCGAGCGGCGTTCACTTGGGTTTAACGCGCATTTTTTTTCATTGGTCACCGCCAAGTGAAATAAAGCCTCTTATAGGTTAAATTTTCGAGAAAAACAAGGGTGACAGTATACAAACCGCCAGCACTTTGTACTAACTAAGTTTGTATAGGATCAGACCACAGAGATGCATTCGAAAAAGGGGGCAGCTAAAATCACAACACATAATAACTCGAGGGCTACATTGAATAACCCGCCCGCCGTGCAGAACATGTCGTCCAACTCATGGAATAACTCGACCGCAGTACGAAATAACTTGATCACCATCCAGAATAAATCAACTGTCATGCAAAATAATTTGACCACGGTTATGTCGGTTTCAGAATGAACGACCGGGTCGACTGCTAAATATCGTTATTATTAGAAAAACAAACAAACTCACTGTGCACCGCTCTTTTCATTCCATAATAAAAAGCTACCCCCCCCTGCTGTCACTTCTCTTTTCGTAACCTAGCAATGGAAAGTGAAAAGCGCCACGATCAACAGGCCCCAATCGAGGTTAATATCACTAAACTGAAGATTTGGAGAGACCACCCTCAATGGGGCTAGAGCTTGACCGCGAAGAATCTTGTTGTACCCAAGAGGACGTTACTAGGATTGAAAAAGTCATTGTGTTGCTCACTGGACGGTCCAGTTTTCGTAGAAAGCTCTGTTAATGTTAATTGTTATCACGCTAATGGAGGAGGACGGAAGACAAGGATAAAGCAATAAGAGCTAAGGATTCTCATATATTACTATTCTTGTCGCTCTGACGGCGGTACATGAGCTTTATCGCTATGATCGGACTAGTGTTTGCTAAGGAGAAGTTGGGCACATAGGATGGTTGGGTATCGCGCTTTATGGTGAAGTATGTAGAACCCCAATCAGGAATATCGATGGATCTGGTGCGGTACCTGATGAACCTGAGCTTGAACCTGATAAGAAATCTGATTCCCACAATGCAGAAAATGATATGACAGACGACAGGGCGGCCGACAAAGCAGATAGATTTCGAGTTAATACTCTCAAGCGTCTACAGAAGTCCAAGGTAGAAGTACATTCGATTGAGTAATAACGCGAGCAGTTTGGAAATTGTTCTGATGCCTGATATAAAATATTCTGTACCCTGACGGTGAGGTTTTTTCATTATGTTATATTGCAAGAAGCGGTAGAGTTGTACTACAAGATGTGGTCTAGTTATTCTGCAATTTTCTGGACAAGGGCGCGTACTCGCTTACCAAACTGGTTAAGTGATTGCCCCTGCTTCTTTGTGCATTCTGTCTGGATCTGCGTCGCGTTCAGCTTCCGATATCTGGCGTTTTGATGCAAATGTTTTTATTGCGCCATAGAGAACTTTTACGCCGATAGAAAATATATTCTCAGCGGCACTTTCCTTCATTTCCAGCCATATTGCTGTTCTGCCTTATGAAAAGATATTTTCCCTCCAATGCCGCGAGAATACTCCATCAAGAGCTCTGTCTGCTGAGGCCGATTGAGATGTACCTTAGAAACTTTCCTTTCTCCGTTGGGGTCGGTGTCTAGGGATTTTATACTGGCAATTCCTTGATAATAATCCCAGCTTGTAGGTGTCGGGGATCTAATTCTGGATCTGTATACCCTTTGATATCTGATTGCTAAGCAATGGCTTTTGATCTCGGGCTGAAGGCTCATTTGGAAATTTGTCTTGCTCTGCTCAGCCATCTAGAATCATGAAGAAGCTTCTGCCTTGCTTAATGCATCCGATCGCCGTAAACTATTGCCAGTAGGACCGGTGTTACTGCCTCTCGTACCTGGACTAAACGCTCAAGAAAGCTAAGCTCCTGAAGCCATGGAGGGCGTTGAGACGCCAATCCAGTCAAATGTAGCGGGTACACCTGCAGCCAAGGCCAAGTCTAAGCGTGGACGACCGCCGAAAGGAGAGCCATACCTATGGACGAAAGAAGCGGCGGTGACATTGTTCACTGTGAGGTAAGGACTCTAAGCTAAACTCCGTGCGTTAAGTTGCTAAACTGTTTGCTGTATTGTATGCCTATTAGATACGGAACGGCGAAAGAAGATTTC